ACTTTCAAGCCCACGGCTCAGGTCGTAGTCGTGGTCCCATTCCAGGGGAATGGAGTCCATGGTTGTTTGGGTGTCTCGGCCCGAGCGTTCAGTCCGGAGCTGGGCAGCCCAGGACGCTGAGCGATCGGAGGACGGCAGAGGCGACAGGAAGCCATCCCCCTAACGTTTGCTCCATAGCAGACCGGACAAATCACACTGCTCATCTAGCTCCAGGATGCTCCGGCCTGATTTCAAGTCCGGTGTCTTGGACTCCAAGCCTGATGGGTTCGATTTTCAGCTAGCTCCTCCTGGGCCATGCTCAGTTTCTGCTCTAATGCCTCGAGGTCTTATTGAGGGCAGAAACCTCAGAGTCTTTTCCGTAGAAATCAGATTAAAGTCCATTGATGTTTCCCTTGGACCTTCTGTGGTTCTGCTGTTCGGCTCTTCCCAGAGGTCAGCTCCTGTCTGAGCCCCGACCCCTGTGCCTTCAGCTTATTTTCTCCTGGTGTTTTTCTCCATTCTGAGGTGCCTCCTGACCTCAGTTTTCCTTTGTCTGTGGCACGCCCTGTTTTGCTGCCCGATCATCAGTGTTGGTCCGTCACTGTCCTGCACAGTTTTAATGCAGAGTTGTTAAGGTCAGCATTGTTTTGCTCGGCCTCACTTTTCCTCCGGGCTTAATGGGCGTGTCGTCACAGCTCTGTCCGCTGAAGCTGTCTTTTTCCATATGGCAAGAATGTGAAGAGTGTGTGAGAGGGGTGTGTCCGATCAGGCACTGCCTGCTGTGGATTGAGTGCAGGTCAAGGTGTTCGGAGCGGATGGTGCGCTCAGCTGCTCGCATAACCCTCTGTAGAGCTCGTCTGTCCGGCATGTTGCTGTTCCCGAACCAGACAGTGATACAGCTGCTCAGTATGCTCTCGATAGTTCCTCTATAGCAGGTGGTCAAAGTCATTGGTGGGAGCCGGACCTTTCTCAATCTTCTCATTTAAGAAGAGAGACTGACAGAAATCTCCCCGTGTAGTGAAACGGGCCTTGGATTTAACACTCTCCATCTCCGCAGCCTGATATCGTTTTCCTGCAGCACTGTTGACATTTTCAAGCTGTTGTTATAGGTCCAGCTGCTGTAGCATTTGGTCAGGGTCACTTCAAAGATGGTGGAGGAGTGAGCAACGATGGTGGAGGGGAGAGCAGGCGTCCAGGTCAGCCTCGGCTTCCCTACCTGTAATCAAACATAAAGAAAAAAAAAAACAAAAAAAACAAAACAAAAACAAAACAAAACAAAACTAATGATGTTGTATTGGCTATATCAGTCAGAGAGGGGAGAAACACCGGGGCCAGGCCCTGTGTCAGCCTTCACTCCCCCTTTTTTTTTTTTTCTCTCTCCATATAATCCTCTCATAACCCACCAAGCTGACAGGACGACACAGGTACATTTTAAAATTCTTAAGATTGTATTTAAAGTTCAAAATGGAATTTTCTTTCATTCAGTAATCACCTATATTTATCAATCGGCAGAAAACTTGTCACAATTTGACTTTTCTAACCACTAAATTTGTCATATCTTCACTGGTTTGTCAGACCAGTGTTTTTTGTTTTTGTGTTTTTTTGAAGTTAAGATGTTGTCCTGCAACCCAGAGAGTTTATTCGTTAGTAGTGGATAAACTTTATTGTGTAACGGCGGGTGTATGTTAAGCTTCACTGCTTTAAACTTGCTGGAAAATCTTCACATGTTCATGGGTGTAAGGTGTTTCTTCATTGCGTGTATGTGCGTTTGTAGGTGGGTTAACTTAACTTTTTGTTTGCTCATGGGGCCGGGTGGTCCAGGCCCGTAGCCACCTGTATCAACACACTAAGAGATTTATTTAATATCATTTTCATCACAATCACACTCTGCCGACTGAAGTGCCGGTCTTACTCAAACACAATTTATCTCTTCTATATTAAAATCCAGCCGAACATCAAACATTCAGCGTAGTCATTCAAATCCTTATTTATAATATTATAATCAACAAAATCAGCGTTTTTATTACAAGCTTGTATCATTATTTGCAAATCCCACAAAACATACTAAACAGGAAGCAAAAGTCCTCTGTGTAGTTCACAGCTCATTTGCATGTTCACACACAGTCTAAAAATAGCCCTCAGCGCCGCAGCTGCACGTCACACACAGTCTCACACCAAGCTCAGGCAAAACTCTATTATTTTATATTACAAAAGACGTCTTGTATTTACAATCACTGACAGGCCTAACAGATTGAGCACCTAAGAAATTTCGACAAATTTAAAATAACGAGTAATCAATTAACCAGTATCTGTTTCCTCCAGAACAGCCTATGGCCTGATTTCTAAAGAACCTAAACAATTTCGACAAATTTAACCATAACGGGTCCAACCGAAGAAAGTTAACTTTTTTGTAATCAATTAAACAGTATCTGTTACTTCTGGAACAGTTTCTGACCTAATTTCTAAAATCCCTAACTCAATTTAACAGTATCCAAACAAGCACATGACACCGTTTAAAACGGTGAGGAGACTCGGTAACTCCTAGCTTATTTCAGGATGCCCTGTACCCCACAGATAAGCCAAACTGAACTAACCCTGTTCGCCGACAGGTCAAAGCCGCGCGTCCACGACTAGGAGGGGGCGTAACCCCCGGGCTATGTGCTTCTTAGCAACTTCTGGTGCCGTCCTATAATAATTTTCACCTAACCGATTTTGAGAAATTTTACCATAACGGGTCCAACCGAAGAAAGATAACTTTTTTACGACCAATTAAACAGTCTCTGTTACTTCTGGAACAGTTTCTGTCCTAATTTCCCTACCAAACTACCTGAGCCTTCAGCTCACTATCCAGGGACTCAAACCCAACATTCTCTGTTACTTCTGGAACAGTTTCATATTTCTTCAACTTCATTAAATACTCTTAAGCAACTTTAACTGCATAACACACGGTGATTCTCATCAAAATCAAAACAGACACTCTACCAGTAATTTCAGTGAGTAGACTTTAATTTAGTCATATCCAATTTGGCACATTTTGGAAATAATTCAACAGGTAGTGCCTTACCTTTAGATAAGCCGGCTTTTGTCCACTCAAATCAGACCACTGGCTCGTGCCTGTCCGTTCGACAACCTCGGACCGTCCAAACTTTTAAATTCCACCCCAATACCACAGGACGAGCCCCCAAAATGTTAAGGTTCAAAATATTGGGGATGGAGACAAGAGAAAAACCACAATAACAACACTGGTCCGGTCGGGTTGAGTCAAACGATGATTTAATGGTCACACACGTGGGAGATGGACACTGATGCAGACAGCCTCAAATCTCAAAGTGGTGGAGCATTGCTCAAACTCTTATAGCCTCTGGTTCTCCCATCTTATCATAAAAGCCTAAACATTCACATTCTTTCTCTCACACGGCGCCTAAGCTACGACCTTGGCTCCCTGTTTATCTGCTCGTGCTGAGATGGGGCAGAAAACTCCAGCATGTTCTCTTCTAATCAGACAAATAAGGCGATGACTTTCTGCGAACAGTATTCCTTATAACTCAACAGTATAATGCATCATAAACAATATCATTCATTCACAATAAATCAGCAGTCTAATGCAATGCAAATCAGTTTAAATACTGCAATAATTATCACCTTCTTCTAATTCAGGAGAATAATGCCAACTTAAACTACATAATAATTCACAATCTTTATTTCGGGGTCTAACATGGCATAAAATAATATCATAATTTTACACTCTCCAGTGGGTTTGATGCATTTTAGAACTGCAGTCTTCTCCACTGACTTGCTGCTGACACTAACTTGGCCCTGTTGCTCTTAAACACCTCTGGTGGGTTCTTATAATCATGCACAACAGTCTCTCCAAGCATTCAGAGGACGGGACAATCCAGGGAAGGTCTGTACACAAGAGGAAGAACGGTGACATTAGTTGCAAGGAAAACACACCAGACTAAAGAACCGGAGTTTTATTAACAGCGTCGCTCAATGATCCAGCAAAGACTGAACCTCAGCCACCATCTAAGTAGTGCCTCTTGACGAAATCATTGGGAAAAGGTAACTGATTCATCAACATCGACACAGACACACAAGCACAGAGAGAGGACAGGGAGACACAAAGAGAAAGCAAAGCCTTCGACCAGATTCCAAAAGGCTGATTCTGCTCATCTGGACATTTTCAGTGGGAGAAACGTTTCATCATCATCAGCTGACTGCAGGTTTCAACCTTATAAACAGGACATTTGCACAATGACTGAAACCAGCACCACTGAAGGAACAGTGGGCTGGGAGGTCGGCTCATTGATCAACAGCAATGTGCACAGTATATGGTCTTGTACATGTGTCTGACGGAGGATCTGTGAAGATGGGGAAATAACTGTTCGTTCGCCTGCTGAATCTGTCATTTTACTCAGTTTCTGATCTTTTCATTCAACTGTGTGAGAGAGAATTTCAGAAAGAAAACATGACATAGAAGAACTATTTGAAAAACTGAAGCGATGAAAAGTGAAGGATGGAAAATGTTCATAACCAAGTGCTTCAACAGTTTAATGATCCGTGGCCTTATCCCAAATCGTCATTGTTGTGTTTGCATCATCCAGGGCTGCACTAGGCTGTGACTAACATGCAGGCACTCATTTAGGGAGTGTGTGATGTGCTTTAGCTTTGGATTTGAAACTTTGCTCAGTCATGCTCATTTTATTGTGGGAAGTCAAAATCATAATTGTATTTGCTGTTCTACCACAGCCCACTGTGACATTTTCACTGTGAATTCTCACAAATACTTCATGGATACTTCATAATAATAACACTTAATGCATTAGGTGAAGCATTTCCAGTGAACACAACGCAGGGAAAAAGTTACAGTGTGTTTGGGATCTATTCAAAGATAATCGGCATTAAAAGTATTAAAGCAGCTGCAACTGTATTTTAAATTTTGCATGATGTGACCTGTTCAGTTCCTGCTGCCGGTGCTCACCACGGATATCACATCTTTCAACATCTTGTTGTTTTTGCAGGAACCTTCTGTATCATCTCCCTCTGTACCTGCGTCGCTGGCATCAACTTCGAGCTTTCCCGTTACCCGCGGTACCTGTACAGCTTGCCCGATGATATCGGCCACGGCTACGGCTGGTCCATGTTCTGCGCCTGGGGAGGCCTCGGCCTCACACTTATCTCTGGCTTCTTCTGCACTCTCGCGCCCTCTGTTCAACCAATACCGAGGTCTACCTGTCCCAAATCTCGACAGGAGAACGGCACCGTGTGCTAAAGCTGGCTGCGTGCGCCAGGCCAGCTGAACCCACAGACAGACAGACAAAACAAACAAGCTATTCCATGTTTCCATGTGTCAGCTCATATCCACTCTATCCTGGTTACAGATTTTGTGTGTGTGTTTGTTTAAAATGGGTGTCTTGATATCTTGAAAATACAAGAAAAAAACCTGAAGAACTGAAGAAATATCAAAAATTAAAAGTTGTGTTTATTTTTATTTTGTGGAGTAGATGCAGAAATGGATCGTGAAAGAAATGATATGGAGACCACGAAAGACTAAATTGTAACGAGTGAGTGCTTTACTGGTCTACTGTGATTGTGGAGACGCTAATGGATTAACAGATTGTTCAGAAGATCAAGTAAAGATCTGGTGGAACCTTCTTATGATCTTTTAAAGCTTTTTGTGGAATATTTCACAAGCCAGTGGATCAAACATGAAACCATGTGACTAGCGGGAGTGGGATCACATGAATTCTCCAACTTCTGGGGTCCTTCCAGTTACTAGTAACAGGCAAGATCCAGAAGAGAAGATCCAGGACTTCCACTGATGTACATTATTGTACAGAATATTCAAGAGAAATGACAACCAGGCATTGGACTATTTCCATCTTTGTGTCGGTGCAGCACATTCCAGCGAATGATCCTAATCTAACGTTTCATACATGCATTCCTCTTTTACTGAAACTGTTTTGCTTTTTACTGAACCTTCATGTTGTGAATGAACTGTTGACTTGCTCAATGCAAATGTGTTTAATTTTTTCATTCTAGTCATAAGGCTAAATGTGTGTGTGTGTGTGTGTGTGTGTGTGTGTGTGTGTGTGTGTGTGTGTGTGTGTGTGTGTGTTTACGTGCAGACATGTTGAGACGAGTTATTTTCAAGTCTTTACAAAAGAGTGATCAACTTGACAAAGCAGCGCCTCAGCCTGAGTATGTAGGGAAACAGAAGCTTTGATCAGCAGTGAGATGAAACAGGAAGCTGCAGTATCCCGTTTAACCAAACTGACATCTGCCCCGTCTTTTCTGGAGAGCCCCAGTTGACCCGGCAGATAAAGAAGTCGCTTTAAAAGGGAACAGCACGTTTAGCTCTGCTGAACATCTAGGGAACGTTTAAGTAATTACATCTAATGAGAACACTTCTTGTCCCCGGGGATCAGCAGGTTATCTGCAGGGCCTTCTCGAAACAGTATCTAAGCATAAGGTTTGAAAGGTCTCATCTTAGAAGAAGGAAGAAAGATCTCAGCCACGAACCATGAATCACAAACACATGGGCTTGAATTTACTCACATCATCAATTCACCAACACTGAATCCAGCAGGCAGTTGTTGCCAACATCCAGTTTGTGAAAGCGGAGACTCTAAATACCACAGTCCCGTACCAGGGACAGACAGTTCAATTCAATATAGTTCAAATCACAACAGTCACATCAAAGTGCTTTACATTGTAAGGTAGACCCTACAATAATACATACAGAGAAAACCCAACAATCATATGAACTCCTATGAGCAGCACTTTGGCGACAGTGGGAAGGAAAAACTCCCTTTTAACAGGAAGAAACCTCCAGCAGAACCAGGCTCAGGGAGGGGCGGGGCGGGGCCATCTGCTGCGATTGGTTAGTTAAGGGAGGATTCAGTCAGAGGATCCAGCCCTCACTGTAAGTCTAAAGTAGAGCGGGTGTGTTATATTGGGGTGATACAGAACTATGACGTGTTGAAGATGAGACGGGACCACTGAGAGGCAGGCGACGATTTCATTTCCCACTGGATCTATCTACTGACATGTTACAATGTATCCAGCCAAGACTTAAAGCAAACACTGTACTGGGATCTGTTCAGAATAATTTAGGTTAATTACAACTTGGATCATGTTTTTCTAGCTTTGGACATCAATTGGTCATTACTGATACTGTGTTGTTTTTGTTCTTGTTCATAGTTTTGTCTATGTGTTGCTTAAGAAACATGATGGAGTTCTCTGACACCAGGTTACTGTGTGGATTAGCAGCTACTGTCAGAAACTGCTTAGTTTGAATTAACATCATTATCGAACTGCCTTTTTCTTTCAGCACTGATGGTCAGCTGGTCAAACATGTCTTATAACACTTATACTCACATACAAGTAAACCGACATTTCCAAAGAAACATCTTTTTATCTCAAGACAAAATGCTCTTTATGAGAAAAAATGAAAAATGTGAGAAAATATGAAATACATTATTTTATGGACAAACACTGCGCCACAGTAAGTCACAGACTGCCACAATCATGAACTCAGATCTATCAACTCCAAACCTGTTCACCTGGTCTGTGGTCACAGACATTTGTAAAAGAGTGGGTCATCCTAAAGATTTTGAGCACCGTGCTCACAGAATTTGAGCGTGGTGCTTTCATACTAAACCACCCTAAGTCTGTTTTTGTTTCTTCCATCTTAGACATTCGACAGTCAGCTATAAGTGGTATTATTGCAAAGTGGAACCTCTTAGGAACTAAAGTGACTCAACCATGAGAAAGCAGATCATATAAAGTGGCAAAGCAGAGTTACTGAGTGCTGATGCTCGTAGTTAAGTCACCACCAGTCTGCTGATCTAACAACGTCCTGTGGAATCATCAGGACAAAAACTATGCATCAGAGCTTCATGGTATTCGTGGCCCAATACTTTTGTGCACATAGTGTATCTCAGATCCACATCGTATGGGAACCAAGTGGCAAAGGCAATCCATCACAGTCAGTAGAGGAGCAAAAATAGATGAGACTGTCTGTGACAAAATCTAAAATGAAAATATTAGAATTGAGAAAGTCGTTTACTTGTATGGGAATATTTCTCTAGAAGGCAGGAGCTCTGTTATTTAAAATGTTCTTTGTCTGTTTTCATAGCAGTGACAGCAGATGTGTATCATCCTCAGAAAGAAGCTTGTTGTTTCTTTTTAGACTTTCTTCATTAATTTTATTTTATTATTGATTTTTTGTCCTGTAACAAATGAATTCAGCATCATGAATGGTTTTCAGGAGTGTAAATAAAACATGAGGATGTAGTGTCTGATATTCCCAAGTCCCAGTTTTATAAGATTATCATGTTTGGCACCCGTGCTGGCAGCGTTCCTTTAATCCTGCTCATGAGCTGGGACACATTTTGAGTTCCAAAGTTACCTGAAAGACGTTTTTTTAGTGTTTCCGGAAATTTGGGACCTTTATGATAAAAATAACAACAATTCCAACAATACGTACAATCCCACATAAGTCATGTACAGTAAGTAAATATATTAGTTAAAAACATACCCAGTAGAAAACATGGGTGCAGCTTATGTGTCAGAAAAATAAAGCTAAGTTCATGAAAACCTGCATTCATCTGCCACCAGATGGCAACAGCTGTGGTTGCAAACAGACTTGCAGTCCTATAGAAGTTTATGGGAAAGGCTTTCTGACGTGACCCCTGTAAATACTGTCCTGCTGAGTTTATTGGCTCAGTCACTCATTTTGGGTCATATTGACTAAAAAGGTCTCTTTTGTAAATCTTGGTTATACCACCCCATATGGAAAAGATATATATAAATCTTATAAAGTTTGTATCTGTCTTGTGTGAAAAGCATATAAGAGTGAAAACAGATATAAGATCCCTTGAAAAATTATATAATGAAACTTGTATGTTTTGGATACTAAAACAATGTATGAAAGTAATGAGAAAGTGGCCACTTTCATGAGTAATCACATATAAGTTTTTACTATTTCTTTTCCGTATGGGACGGCTCCAAATGGAGGATTATCTGTGACAGGAACTCACACGTGTGGAGGGATCTCACAACCAGATTATAGGTGGCAGACAGTTGGTGTCATAAGCCACTCCCTCTCGTCACGGATGGCTGTTCACAGTGGACGCATAGATGGCTTCTTTCACTCGTTGCTTTTCTTTCCCCCTCAGATTACAACGACCTGGATGTCCGAGAACCTTCACAGACACAAACAGAATTAACCTTTGATAGCAGAAAACCTTTGGTATGCTTGTTGCTTCATCATATCAAAGCTGCCTCACATAATATCCTTATCAAAGGTGGGTCACAGCTGATTAGGCTAAAAGGGAATCATTTCAGACACAGCATAGCAGATGAAACTGTGTGGCTGTAAATTCAACAATGTTCCAGATACAAATATTTTGTCTCCACATTGAATTCACACGTAAAGTGTCAGGCGCCGTCTGAGCTGTGCGTGTGAGATGAACCTCGCCATCAAGCTGGATCAATGAGGCCTTAAAGTGCAATATCAGTGAAGGCTGCTATAGCCAATGACTCTCCAGTGTCTTTGGCTCCAATGGACCAATGTTTTAACAAATACAAAGGAAAGTAAACTTCTGTCGGGAAATGAAGCCGTTATGAATTAGGATTACTCCGAACCCTAATCCTAACTGTAAGTCTCATCATTGCTGGTTTAAAACAACCTTATGTAACTCAGATTTGAAACATCATAAACAAATATGTGTACAATGGTTCAAATAAGCTTCTTGCTCCAATAAACTGAGATGTTAATGATGAAGGTACAAACTCAAGCTTCTGACTGATCGTATCAAATCAATGGGTGATGTCACGATGGCTATTTTCACTTAATCTGTATGAATTATGACCGTCTGATTTTTTGGTTTTCTCTGTGTGTGTATGGATGGGCGGTTTGAGAATATATACAACATATGATATTATAAATCCACTGCAATGTGGAGACAGTTTCATGCTCCTCATGATGTCCGACACACGGCAAAAGCAAAAGTAAGACATGTTTAGGCAGACGTCGTCATCACATATAAACTGTTTTATTAAATAATTCAGTGTCAGTCAACATTAAAAAGACAGTCGTCCAAAGAGGATGGGCCAACAAATGAAATTATGATCAAATACTGCAAATAAAGTAGTTTTTCTGTTGATTCTGTTCATCTGGATGTTTTCAGTGGGAGAAACGTTTCGTCGCTCATCCAGGTGACGTCTTCAGTCTCAGCTGACTGCAGGTTTCCCCGATCTTAGATTTTTATAATCCAAATTAATGTTCTATGCATTTTTAATGCAGCTAACACGAGCCACAGTTTTCAGTCACCGTATATTTTTCCAATTTTAAGAGAAAAACTAGGAAACATTTGTGACCTGGCCATAAACAATACTGTGCAAAGGGTTTGAGAATTGTTTTTATTTGCTCTTGCAGTAGCATCAGAGAGGAATCTGAGCACCCGCCGACACACTTTGGCAAAACAACATTTACTTATAAACAACTGCTTTAGCTTCCAGAAAATAGACAGTGAGGTCCTTATAGGTCGCTGATCTCAATATGATAAAACCAATATAAGAGTCTGTGAAAAGAAAGAGACGCTGATAAAAGTTCTTGAAGCACTGAACAGCTTAACGTCCAGGTAACTTGACTGCGAGTGTACTTTTCTCCCACTGTGCTGTGACTAATGTTAACTGAGAAAGAATCGTCACATTACTTTTAGTACATTAAACATTTGCACAGTAATCTATGTAATCCTGTTTCTGACCACTGACGTCTTTATTTCAAACCGGCATTTTTGTTGAGTGTCAAGTTTGATTTTGTGAAGCTGATTTTCTACACAGCCTTTGTGTACACGGCTGAACATGTGAGGGGATGTGGGCTCGGTCAGTTCATCAAATAAAGCCCAGTAAAAACTGATGCTTATGAGAAAGGTGGGCAGCACGTGCAGCTTTTGTATTTTTTCATTCATTGGACTCCTTGATTGCATCTTCAGTTTTGCAGTCTGTCAGTCTTGCTCCATGCATTGCAATAGAAAACAAAAATGTGTGGCTTCCCATTGTACGCTGCAGGTAAAGAAGCAGCTTCCTGTTTGGTCAAAGTGATATAAGCAACGTCTGCAGAGACACACGAGGACACGGACCGACAATGTTAACTTTGACTACCTCCACCAATCAAAGGACACACCAGAATCAGCATCAGCATCAACCGACCACCTTACAGTGTCTGAGCTAGTTAATGAAGACAGAAGGGCTGGAGCATTATGAGATAATGTGTCTGCTGAGTAAATCTGAAAAAGGAGAAAAGGGTAAATGTTTAAGTATTGCAATCAATGTCAAATCATAACAAAATAAAATTCATTAGTGTGTTTACTAATGCTCTTGGTTGTCATGAATGTTTGGGATGAGAATAAAATCAGGAGATTAGAGAGATCCACGCTAGTTTTAAAGTTCTGTGAATCCTTCAGCAAGTGAACAGAAAGATCTGTGACTGAACTTTATGCCACAAACAGAGAACTCCTAATGAATTTATTATTTTCACTAAACCTGCAGGTTTTAGACGTGTCCTCAAACCAACACAGCTGATTTAAATGGCTAAATTAGCTCCTGCAGTTCTCCAGAGGCCTGGTAACGAACTAATCATGTGATTCAGGTGTGTTGACCCAAGGTGAGATCTAAAACCTGCAGGGACACCGGCCCTCGTGGACTGAGATTGCCCACCCCTGTTCTAGTTCCTTAGTAT